GTTTCGTTTCGTTTCGTGGAAAAGACTAAGCCCCCTTTAAGAAGTAAAGTCCACGTCGAAAATAGCACGATACACATGGTACGAACCTGATGCGTGATTAATTGGAACGGTGACCGACACGCCCGACCCGCTCTCAAGTTGGCATAAAGGAGAGTCACATATAACACTTTCCTACACGCGAAAGCGATTTAAAGATCGTCCTCGTAGTTGGGATGTTGGTGACATGATATTTACGTTTGAAGGGCGGTGGTCGTCGCGCTGAGCATGTGCGACATTTGTGTTGATAAACATTGATTTGCCTACAATCCAATGCTCTCTTCTAATGAAAATCACAATTATGAGGTTTGACCTTGGCCCGACTTACCGCTGGTGACTCCTTCGATACCTTCCAATCACATAATTGAAGCTTGGTCTCAGTTTGTACTCGTTGATCTGCGCAACAGTCAAAATCGCCATCTTTGTTTATATGAGACCCATATATCTCGCGCATGCGTGGCGCGACGACTACCGGTCTTTAAGCATCACAGGGGCATCTGAACAATTTTACATTAATTATAACTAAAGGCCATTCTAACTTTTCACCCCTACTCTATATGATTATATAGTCTTGATCTTGCCCAAAATTATTCGGTCGTTTGTTGTCCATTTCATCGTTTCTATAAACCGCTTCACTTAGCAACCAAACAATTTAGTGACGTAATTTGGTGAACAGAGAGTCGTTCAACGTGTTTTTAATGTATTTATTCGTACTTCTAAAACATTGAATGAAAAACACACAATATTGTATATTAATTTACGTCAATTTATTTAGGTTATGACTATATTATTCCAGAGGCTCTGGCACATACTACGCGTACGTAAATATACGGAGAAGGACTGGACGTGTGTGAGCATGAAATATGACAAAAGGAAACAATGGCGGAGAAAGATTGATAAATTAGAGAGTGTCGGTGTACGACAACATGTTACGCACGTCGAGATAGGATATAATAGAACCAGCTGTAACATGATATCCCCCGGCAATAAGCGGCATACAGTGGATTTCATTCATATCCCAGACTCGTGGATCACTGAATATATACGGTACATCGTAAATTGCGATAACTGGCAAATAAAACGTAAACTAGCAACGAACAATTATAACAAATATTGGCGATGTTCACCAGTTTTTTGTACTGGATTCGAGCCAACACGCGTGTCGCAATGTGTAGTCACCAAAATATGCGCTGATTCACGTTATCGTTCCCAGTATCAAAGATGCGTTCATGTTTATAATCATTTTTTTTTATCAAATAGAGACATACATTGTTATCACGTGTGAGGCATTATTTTTGACAGCAGACCGTACAATTAGGCCGGGTAATTTGGAATTTTTCGATGTCCACTGCGTTGTTACAGTGGCTACAAATTGGAAATGACTTCTCGGTGCTTCCCGCCTCTCAATAAATAAAACCATTTACGTGAAACCTCGTCTATTGTACCCATCTGTATAATATTTCTTTATTCAGCGAGTAGCAGGTGGACTTACGAACGCGCTAATTTTACCCATAATTCATTTTTTCAGACAATGTGTCAAATCAAGCGCGAAGTCAATCCATTGAGGGCGTCGTATCGATTACATTATTGTTGTTGTTCACCTCTAGTCGGCACAGACCGCAGAATTGCTACCGTTTTGACTTGAACGTTGTCTGGTTTCTGCAGCTATCGATAATACACTTCCACAAGTATATTATTACAAGAAGTACATCTCGACGTGTTTGGTGGAACATTCAACGCATTGGATTTTTTATTTCGAAGCGCATCTTCGATAACTGGTTGTGTTTAGTGCGTGCATGGGAGAAATATCGCGAAAGCACGTACTCACATGGACTCCGGTACGGGCCTGTGATAACTGTTGACTCTAGATAGATAAGAATCCCTGTCGGGTAAGTCACATCGTGGGAATTCGTGTCGCATACAGACTGATACCGAAATAGGGTAGAATTTCAGAATTTGACAGAAATAGCATATGTGTATCTCGCAACTGGATGTAAATATAGCCGAGCGGATCAATTATTTAAAGGCAAAATTATAAAGGCGAGGAAATGTCGGTGAGCATAGAATACGAACCATTCATAAACCGTCAGGGAGACCTGGGTGTGGGAGTTGACCTGGATAATTACGGGCTGTCGGCAATACCGAAAGAGATCTACGGCCAGCGCAATCTAATCGGGCTTAATTTGGGACGCAATAGAATAACAGAGTTTCCACGGGAGGTCGTGAACTTGAAAAAATTGGAGAACCTGATACTTAGCGACAATGAAATGGAATCCCTTCCCGATGTCCTTTGCGAGCTCGATGAGCTCAGAGTTCTGGATTTGCGAAGGAATAAACTCACCGACCTCCCCAAAGAGATATCGGACTTGCAGAACTTGCGGGAACTCTGGCTGGACAGCAATGCGTTTTCCACTTTCCCGGACGCCCTGTGTACTTCCGAGATCGAAGAGCTGTATCTGCGAAATAACGGTTTGCAGGAGTTGCCCGAAAATCTGAGTAAACTGCGATGTCTAAAGGTGCTGGTTGTCAGTGGTAACCAGTTGAGCGGCCTGCCTGAATGTATTGGGAATATGGTGCAGTTAGAGGAGATTTGGGCACAGAAAAACAACATCAGCAAGCTACCGAAAACGATCACCAAGCTTCCCAAGTTGAAGAAAATCATCTTAGACGGCAACCCTGTCACTTACCCACCCATGGGCGTCTGCAGACAAGGAGTGAAGGCGATCAAACAGTATTTAACTGAAAATTGAATGACAATGTCTGAGCATGGTCCCGCGAACACACGGTAACATTAATCATGCGACGCACTAAGTATTAACGCAATACTGTTTCGCATTGCAGAAACGATTGCTTTATTAATTTTGCTAAAACTTCAATTTCGCAGCTTGGTTTGAAGATATCGTAGTATAGTCATTGATGACGACGAATCTCAAATGCATTCGCAATGCCACTATGTTCAGTCTACGAGCGGTTTTAGATTTGTCTGCTTGTTTTCACTAAATATCTCGAGGTCAAGAGGTCTAGAGAAACAAACGCGATCTTACATACAGCCACGGTGAACTTTGCAATTACAAGTCATTCGGTTGTAGGTAAAAGGTACTGCATCACGATTAGTCCCGAACTACACCGGTACACCGATATCGTAAATGCTTTTTTTTGAATACCCGTATGTAAACGCCATATTTGTCTTGGATTTATATTCCAACCGTATTTGTTTATTTCAAATTTCCGTTGCATTCGCTTGCAGTATAAGTGATTTTTACTGAAGGCGAAAACTACAGTATATTACATACCCAACTAAATTGCGTCATTGGCACTGCTCAATTTTGTGTTACTATGGACACGGACATTGAATATGCTGGAAAACTACTTTACATTATAATCACGTTGCGTTACCCTGATTTTTATAATCTAATATTTCAAAGAGATTATATTATTTCAAGTCTCAAACCGAGATCGAACTATGTCATACTTGTCAAAACTGTGTAATTTATGTGCGTGTTTGATCACAACATCGCCAGATGACCTGAATATTAACCCCGATCACCCTTCCGAATAATGGACCCTTCCAAACGGACATCATCTATTAGTATTTTCATGTCAAGAAAGATCCGGGGAAAATCGCAATAATTACAATAAATGTTCCCCGTGGGTTATTATTTTCAAATACAACTACATTACTTGTCTGTGTTACATTATATTCAAGGGAAGAGGGCACCGTGTTCGATATCATGAGTCCCATGTTACCTATACAACGCATGTAAAAATAAACACACACGACGACTCCGTCCTTCAAACGTGAAAATACTTGCAGACTGCGAGCTCCATGCATGGGTTCAGTATAAATTGTACGCAGAGGCTGCAGCGCAACATTTTGCATGGGAAGTGCGAGATCTGCTCACCCACCATAATTGTGGGGGTATGCTCCCCTTTAACAATTTCGAAATCTAGACCCTCTTAAACGCTATTTCCTGCATTTTGAGCTGAGGGGCAAATTTTGCTGACACAAAGATTTTCTGCTTGATTTTGGAGAGGCGATCCCCCAACATTTTAACGACCGCCCCCCCCCGTGCCGCTGGTACGAAGCCGTGACCGAATTTGAGACACTGAATACTTGTAAATCGTTATTAAATCTGTTTGATGATAACACCATTCGACAGGAAGTATAAAACATTTAATATAAAGCAAACACACCTTTCGAAACATCCGGACTACGTCACGCCACAAGCACGATATTTGGGTATCATTCTGAAACTAATCAGAAACCAGAACGCATAGATAAATAAATGGCATTCATGAAAAGTATATTATAACAATTTACAGGTTTATTTGAACACATGCATCACAAATAAGTGAACAGATGCATTCTGGGCGCATTAATTCATGAAAGTCCCATGAAAAGTTGGTGTAAAACCACGACTTTAACTACTGGTCAGGTCACCGCAAAATATAATTGTACAACAGTTTTATTTTAAAGGTCGGGGGTCGTTGCGCAGTGTGTTTGAATTTGGTGTGAACGAACATTACATTTTAAGCACTCTTTCCCGTCGCTATGGGATCCCCATAATCCCACGACCATCACCCTTTCAATTTGACTTGTTTTAAAAAAAATGGCGGCCAGCCGACAGTATAATCGTGTAATGGATTGCCGAGCTGGGAATACGTGTGGTTAGACTAAAAATAGAAAATGTAGAAAAGCAAGGTATTTAATGTTTTCTACAATATTAGTTTTATCGACGTGACAGACGTTAGTCTACGTGCATCGATTGCTGATTTTCCTATCCCCACTTTGTTCGAAATATAATATATGCTTTCCAGGGGGGGGGGGGGGGGTCGAACAATTACACCGTTTTTCAATCAGTATGATGATAGAAAAAAAGTTGATTACAATTAGAAGGATGATATGCCATTGCGTGAAATCGTACCATATCACGTGTTTTAGTTATTTATATACAGAGATATCAAACATGACATGTCACGTGCGTATTCATAACGGGAATTCGTGTAAATTCATGGTTTACATGCATGCTTGTCGTAAGGGGAAACCCATTTGGAATCTGGGGAGATCTGAGGGATTTTGGAAAAAAATCACAGGCTTAATAGGGCGAAAAATTGATCTCTCAACAGAAGTTAGAAAAAATAATATTCGAATTTCGAGCTGACAATATGGTTATGCGGTCATTTACTGTCATAGTCCAAGTTATTTTCGGAGTACACCCGGGAAGGTTTATTTGACAAACCTGAAGTAAAAAAATATGCATCATTCTGCAATGAAACAAAGGCCGGGCATATGAGGTAATGAACATTATTTTGATGCATCTGACGAGAAATGTCAAATTCCAGTGCCCAGTGACCCTAGCCTGGCATGCGAACCGATGATTATAGCGCCCTTGCCGACGGATTCACTCGGACGCCAAACAAATCCGACAGGTGAACCAGTCGGCGAGGGCGCAATACGTATCGCCAATATCTGTTCACTCGTTTGGACTTCTTGAAAACCCCACTTTTATATTGTAATGACAGGCAATTCTCCAACTGTCAGATTAGTATACTCAAAGGCATTAGAAAAGAGGGTCACGCAACTGCGGTATCTCCTTACAAGTATCTTGGTGCTTAGTTAATCCACTTAGGATAGAGGAACTGTAATTCCGATTTAATCCCAAGCATTTCAATAAACATCGTGAAAATGTCTCGTATTCCACGTTATCTTAGTGCGTGAGTTGAGCGATAGTATGCTAATTAGGTAATTTATTGGACGTATTTGTACCGAAATAGGAAAAAGAATCTGCGAACTGTTTTCAAATAACAAAGTAGAAGATGAGTACCATTTCATGATTGAATGCCCCCTTTACGAAAAATCGCGGAAAGCATTATTTGAAGAAACTACTAAGCACATTATAAATTTCACGAATATGAGTGACTACAACCATAGACCTTAGAAAACTTTTCTAAGATCTATGCTACAACAAATTTTTAAAATTAATGGGTGATTAATTAATTAATACAAATCTGAATGTACAAATACCAGTTGCCCAATTTATCAAAAATAACACGAACCTTAGACAGCAACATCTTCTGGCAAATTAACATAAATACATTTCTCCTTTAATACGTTTTTTTTTCTCATTTCCATCTTTCATTGATTTACTGTTTATTGCTTTTTTTATTATTATTATTATTTCATCTACTTTTTTCCCAATATTATTACCAACGTATATCAATAGTTTTTTTGTAATTGTAGTCTGTTGATTTATTTTTTAAACTATTGTTGTGCTTTAGACAGTAATTCTTGTAAAATTTGTATGTTTTATATATGTGTTTTAGCAGTTAGTGTAACCATTTTAATTTTTTCTGAGGAATTTTAAGTGTTTCAATAAACCTCATTAAGTTTGTACTTAGTATTTACATAGTATACTGAGTACTAGTATTGTTTTCCGATTTCTTCACATATAATGTATTGCTAATATTGGTTTGTTAAAGGGCGGCAGTCGTCGTGCCGCGTCCTGTTCGACATGGGACTCACAGCGACGTATAAACGCATGTAAAATACATTGTTTATTTACATGGAATTCGAACACGCGCTGCGCGACGACTACCGTGCTTTAACGCCATTTAAATGTTAGCCCATTACCAGTATTTATATTGGTTAGTTTAAAGTCATTCGTAACTTTGACAATGTCACAACCCTTCCGCAGTAAAGTACGCGTTTCATTCATTGTCATAGTCGTGAAGAGTGTAATCGAGATTCTAATCGTCATTTTCCGAAAAGAGGAGTCAAAAACATGGAAAAGTACAATAATAACAATATTAGTATATATAAATATCGGTATAGTAGATTTGATGGACTATTATGTCATTTTCACAGGTCCTGAACATATTTGTTTTTAATTTCTTTTTTAGTCCTATTAATTAAGGACTATTAATTTGGGTTCGTTCCGTCTGTCCGCCCTGAGCTATCTATATCTCGGACACCCATTGACGGATTTCATTCAAACTTTACACAATACATAATGTCTTACATATGCGCTTCAAGTTATTTTATGATCGGAGAAAAAAATGGCCGACTGGCGGCCATTTTGGATGTAAAATTTGCTATTTCTGGTACCTAAACGTGTCCGCAGCAGTTTCTCGGAGATGACTAGGCCGATTTGGATCAAAGTTGGTATGATGATCATAAATATTGGGTTGTAGGTGCATCCCATTTTTTTCCGTGATTCGAACAAATATGGCCGACTGGCGGACATCTTGTTTTTCATTGTACCCATGCTACTTTATCTTGAATGCCATGAACGTTTCTGTTTTAATTTTGTACATAGATACTATACCAAGAGATGCAACTACACCATCATAATTTTTGTGATTCGATTCAATATGGCTGACTGACGCCCAAATTTCATGTAAAAGTGCTAAATCGTCATTTTTTACATGTCCGGATCTGTTTCTCAGAGATGACTAGGCCGATTTGGACCAAAGTTTGTATGTTGATCATACATATTGGGTTATAGTTGCATGTCATATTTTTTATGTGATTCAAACTAATATGGCTGACTGGTAGCCATTTTGTTTTTCATGATACTCATGCCTACTTTCCCATGAATGCAATGAACATTTTTGTTTAAATTTTGTACAAAGACAGTATACCCATAAATACATCAACATGAACATTATTTTCGTAATTTGATTCAATATGACTACCCAGTGTCCAATTCTCGGGTAAAAGCCCTAAAACATATTTTTTTTACAAATCCAT